GAGAGCGCACGCTTCACACGTGGCCATGTATGAGGCAAGGCATGGTGATAGTAATCGTCGATGTCAGTTCATTGGGGTAATCGTGGCCTATCGATCGGCGGCGGCGTTCTGCTTGCTGCGACGACGTCCTTTATGTTCGGCGGTGGTGATCTGTGCGGATAAACAATGTGCAGTCGTGTGTCATGCGAGGCAAATGAATTTCACTCACTCGGTTGACCAAGCCGAATACCAAGCACATTCACTCGTTCAATCTCTGCGTTTCGAATGCCTCCTCATGCAGCCTCGCATGCGGTCGAGGTTCAGCTCGAGTCCCGGTGATCGCAGCGAGTGATCCGCCAGCGCAGTGAGGCAGTGAAGAGAGACCAGGAATGGGCAGCGCGGCGACGAAATGCAACTCGTCGTTCTCGCAGAGCTGTAGATCACAGGTTCACGTTCCACATGGCCCAGAGGAGTTCAGCGCCTTGCCGGCCATCGACAAACGACTACCGTTCACCAATTACCGAGAGTGGTACAGCTTGAAAAACTATTGGAAGACCGTCCAGCGGAACAAGGAGAAATGCGCCAAGCTCTTGCTGTACAGGTACTCTGAAACGTTTTCGTATGAAATAATCTCTTCACATAAGTTTGGAGAGAATCTGTACAGTTAAGGCACTTTGCAGTTGCCCGAACATAGAGATTTGCTGTTATGTCAGAGGTGTATTCAACCGAACGCTGTTTGATCGTAACTGACGGTTAGGGGTCACACGTATGCCGCTGTGACATGAAAGAGAATGTTCGAAAAAAATGCTTATATAGATATACTTTGAGGAAAATAAGTATCGCTCGATTGGAAAAGGAGAAAGTCAAATATTAACTACTCATTTCAGGTTATATAAGTGCCAGTGCATACCTATACCTTAATCTCTCTTGATCTACAGATATACACATGAATTTGCATTTTCGATTCTTGGTATATCGTAGAACCTGCAACTAGTTTGATGATCGATGGCGTATGGCACAAGCAAAGCCGGTGTCAGAACTTTCATTGCCAATGCGTTTCACTTTTACGTTTGCAGCATTATGAGTGGTGTGTGGATGGTGGTGCTTATACTGGCTTTGCCGGACGTATTAACTGCAGTCTGAGTATTGAATGCACCTGCGTTGAGGGAGAAGCCTCTGTATTGGAACCTAAAATTTCTATCAGCTGTTAATTCACCCCATGATGCTCCGGTGGAACCAGTCCAAAAAGAGGTAGCAGGTCCTCACTGTCTTTGACTTGCAAACAACCGAGACGGCATGGCGTTATGGTTTGGTCAGACAAGAATGAGTGAGAAACACGGGCATGCTGACTGACGAGAAATTGTCTTGGGGCTGACATTTGCCTTGAATGACCTGAACTGTTCATCTGATATGATAATCAGCACGAAAGGCAAACGATGAAAGCATGAACTACATCACCTTGTGTGGATGATCAAGTCAACAACGTCTGCAGGAGTGACGGTTGGTTTATTTTGATGGGCTTTTGTGCATACTGTCAGGATTCATCGAAACTTCTCTGTGCACACAATCAAATGGACCATCTGCCTTTTTCAGCCTGATCAGCAAGATGTCACATTGCGGGTCTGAAATAGAACCAACCTATTTTGCAGGTCGGTGCTTCCATTTAATCAACGACACTTCACCTGGCTACGAACTCGTTCATTATTCAATGTTTTGGCAGTAAGAGGACATATCTCTTGAACAAATTCTGACTGTGTGGCACTGTACTTCCTTCTTATTCCAAACATGAATAGGAAGTCATTTAGATAGACCACGGTTCCACTGTATTTCAGTACCTTAAGTAGTATATGCATGTAGCATAATTTTATTAGGTAAAACAATTACCTCAACCGATACAACGAAGTTTCAAAAGCATATGATTGATGATCATCACCTGTTTTCGCCAAAGATTAAACGGAAACATACGGCAGAGTTTTAATAGGACATGACTCCTCCAAATCAAATTTCACCTTTTGCTCCTGCGTTTATTCCTCTATGCTCAAAAGGCCATTTTGACATTCTGCGAATGACAGATAGTACGTTTTAAGGTAATTATAGTGGTTAAGATTCCGAGGCATGGGTGAAGTCCATTTCTTATCGCGTTGTAATAGTGGCATATGGACTTAGTAGCAGCTAGGCGTGAACGAATGGCTCCAGAGAGTGACTGTAATATTTATAGCTCCGTAGACGAAGAACCGATTTTACGGAAACTTCAAATCCCATAGCTCATGAATAAATTGAAAGTACGGTTTTCACCTTCTCTAACAAAACCTCAACTACTTGACCTGCTTCGACTAAATCTGCTTCTAATAAATTATATACAAAGATATTCAAACTTAAATTGGAAATCAATTTTGCAAACCGTAACTATCTGTCATTTTTGAAGCAAAATCAATGTGAAAATTTGACTTCGCAGCGAATACATTTATTACACGCTCTACTGTGGTCGTTGCCTCAGTTGTCTTGAATTCCATACTTATTATTACTAATCAATCGTACGTGCGTCATGCATATCCGTAATTTAACTGTGCGAAGATGGATCATTCATAAATCTGAAGTCCATTTGTTGACTCAATCCAGGGATTCCTGTGGTAACGTAATTCGAAAATGGGATAGAACGATAAGGACATGAAAGAACAAATCATATTGCAGGTCAGAGGATGTCATGAGCTACAGCTGTTTCACAGGGAACCCTAAAATATTAAGTACCAAGGGGTTAAGCACCGTCAGAACGTCTGAATTAAGACGTTGCGAACGCATGTTAATGAAAGTTTCAAATTTTCACTACTTACTGAGACTAGGAGCGGGTAATAAGTCAGGTTTTAAAAAACTAAATATTTACATCGATACATTTCATCACCTAAACAAATTATTGTTGAATCTAATACACGTGATCACTCTGAATCTGAAACATGGTCTGCAGGAACCTCGCATCTTTGTGAAGTGGCATTTTTGGCAGTTTACACGTTTCTTTAAGAAAACCGGTAAAGATATCAAGCATTTAGTCCTGTGACCGATGGCCAATCGCGCAAATCATCGATCAGGATACTGTTCCATATCACCAGCCTATATGAATCTATGGTTTGCGATTGGAAAAAGTAAATATCTCCTTATGTTTGGGATAAAGGCTAACTGCGGCATCCGAAACGAAAGTCACTTTCGATTGTCCACACGGTGTCAGTAGTGTTTTAATCATCTAAATATATTTCACTGATCCTTCTTCGTAATCAGCAGTAGTCACCGGATGCTTTCCTTCGTCTGTCTCTTACGAATTGCCGATACAATCCTCTGTAACTCCCATCTAGCTCATCCTTTCATCTGAACTGAGGTTTTGCAATTAAGTGCTTGCAACTCCTTAGGCATTGATCCTAATCTTATCGTATGGTCTATTATGAAGTTTTATTACGGATTATAGGTGTTTTTTTTAAATGACTCGGTTCAGTAGATTCTGTCGTGGTTCAATCGTCTTAGATTGCATTCAAATTAAGGTCGAAAACGATACAATTTCAAAATGTGGTGTACACACCTCAGTAAGGATGTCCACGTCCTTAAGAGATAATGCTTTATGCGTTCCCATTAGAACAGCAGAGGCATTATTGACGCGTGTAATTTATTATATAAAATTTCCACTGCTGCCATCTCTATTAACCATTGGCTGAAGTAAACCAGTTACACGTCAGTATGTTTGTGTGAACAAACCCTTTACTCGACAGAAGATGCTCCGCCGTAATGATTATGATTACAAACACAAGAAAGAGGCACTGACAATGATCTTCGTCCTAAGTCTACGTTTCAGATAACGCTACAACGTTCATTGTCGTTGTGGGCAACAACACTGTGGTGTGGGACACTAAGGCATTATTTAAAGCAGGATAAGGAATCTCTGTCAATGTCTGATATTTTTGTGTCTGTACCGTTATATATGGAAACACTCGGTATGGAAGAATTCCAATCTGAAATATTGGTTCTGAATTTCAGTGTGAATTTCAGACGATACCATTTAACGATGATAAGCGAACTTGCTTATAAAATTTTTATCCTTATCACTTTCACCTCTAAGTGAGCGGCAAACCTGAATACAAATTTGGAAATGGATTGGAAGCTTGTGAATTTAGACCAATGCATGCGAACGAAATGCCAGCAATCACGGTTATTATTAAGATTATGAGCTGACGATTCAGGTTTGATTACGCCATCATTGAGGACGGCAAGTCCCTCGACTTCTCATTCGGGAGGAGTAGGGGATTGAATTGTAGCGGCATATAAATTTCTATTATTAAATGCCAGTTCATCGAGCAAGGAAACCACTTCTCTGTACGTCAAAGCAATTTAGTCGAGCGACGAGTGACAAATCGATTTTTTGCAAAAAAACAAGGGGAGTTTTCTACACTTATGGTTATGCT